ACAAGAGGTTGATACAGATCTTATTAGTCAATGAATGATCATTAGTGGTCTAACGAGGCATTGATTTGCTCAGGGGCCAAAGGTTGTGGTGAGTGTCTTTAATAMATTAAACACAATTGATTGCCAAGTAGGAGGGATGTTTTGAGGAATGCTGGGATTATATTGGACAGTGAGAAATCTGAGGTCAAGGCAGGAGAGGAGTGAATGTGGTTAGGATCGAGTATGGAGCCCAGCAGAGCATTTGTCTTTTATGTAGAACTGGTGTAGCAATTCTGCAATTAATAAAAAGCAGATATCTACTAAAGTCAAAGGCAAGTGGACTTGCTGTTTCAAAGGCTGGAACAGCAGCCTTTGAAAGCTACGGAAATGACTCTGCTCATAGCAGATGTGTTACTACAGGGCCTATTATGTTGCTCATTAAATACCCAACCTCTCAATAGGCCATTATTTCCTCAATAAAAAACAAACGGCGGCCTGCATACTTTTCCTCCCCCGCCCCGCTTGCTTCAGAAGTCGGCTCTACCTCACAGCCGGCTAAAAAGCCCTGACTAATATCCTGCATGTGATGCTTTTAAATAGGAAGCAGGCCGCTGTGCAGGGTGGGGTACAGGTGTGGCAGGAGCCAATGGATTTTATAGCCCTCCATCTCCTCTGAAAGTGTGCCAAAGACCTGCCCACGCTGCCCACCACTGCAACGTTAGCCGCCAAGCGTTAACTTCACTCCCCCTCGCTGATCCCCACACCCCTACTGGTTATATAGAGTCTTTGCTTGTTATGGCTTTATGGAGGGATTTCTGATGTGCTTAGAGAATTGTTTGATGACTGGGATAATGATGCCATTTGGAGTGAGTTGCCTCCGGATTTTATTGCCGGCAAACAAAGGAAAACTGACCTACTGAAAAGGAGAAGGAAAACAAAACTTACATCTTTCCCTTGATGCTTGCTCATGTGTCCCCTGCCATTCAAAGCCAACCAGTCCTGCTCACGTCAATCAGAATTACACCCCGTCCACAGGTTTGTCACCGGGGGTACATTCGTCACCATGCCTCTCCCTGCAGAACAGCCTTTTCATGCCCCAGCATAATGTCAGCGGGTGACATCCAGGCCTGATGTGATGTGGCATTCACTAAAGGTCACGTTAGGCATCTCCGCTCCATCTGCATCAGCAGAACTGGCAGCCGTCATATGGGTGCTGGCATCGGCCATTACCCAGGGCCTCAAGGGGACTTGATGCTTTGTGGATTTGTCAGCAGGATTCTCATCTCTCCGTTTCACAGCACAGTCACAGTAAACACTGATGCAGAGCAACAGAAATCTGCTTCTGACCATCAAATGTGTAACGGGGAAAAGGCAAAATGACATGTTTTTAGTGTTACCTGATGAACTTTATTATCTCCTGTTAGTCTTTGCTTCTCCACACTCAGTAGAGCTTACATTTTTTAATTAATGTTGCTCTTTAGATGCGTTGAAATGTTTGTTTCACGATCTCTGCACTAACTTTTCCAGAAGTTCTCAGAACTTAAACCGTCCTATAAACTTTGTCTTTTAAACCAGGTAATTATTTATTTATTAGTTTTATACATAAAATGTGGGTTTTTTTTTGGAGTAACGTCCGGAAAGTTTTAAGTATTTGGACAAAGATACATTTGGTAACTCTTGTATTTCCTGTTTTACAGCTCTTCTTTGAAATCTGAAAACTGAATAAGTTTTATATGCATTACCCTCAACTTCAAGGAGTAAGTTATGTAATAAAATGAAAAACAAAACATTATAATGCTTATTGTTGGCTAAAGTAATACAGCTTTTATTTATTGCATTATTGGAATTGAGTATTTTGATTTGATCGAACATAAATGTGACTTTCAGCAGTTTTGTGCTTAATTTAATTTATGAAACAATCAATTTCAGACACTGTTTTTCAAATTTAACATCAATTGTAACTTTGTTGAGTTTCTTCAGTCTTTTGTCTTGCCTGTTCCAACCCATGTAAAAGGATTTACCATGTAAAACCAAAGCAACATCCTCTCGTGACGTTTCGTGACGGAAAATCGCGGCAGCTGGGCAAAAGCTAGACAGTCAGGAAACGAGGTCCTGAACTGGCGAGACGCACAGAAAGATATTTTGAAAAAGTGAGCAGTCAGAGACAGTGGCTCCATTTGGAGACAGGCCAATCAGACACAGCACAGTCCGGTGTGAACGGGTCAATCCATCCGAGCCAGTTGCCGTAGTGAAGGGGCAGTTAACAAGCCCCGCAGGCTGGTTTTACGGCCCCTGTTGTGTGTCTTAGACCCCCCAGGCTGAAGAGGGGCTGAGGCTGACTAATACTGACAGGGTTTATGTGGGCTGGGGCGGAGGGCAGCGTTGGAGTGGAGACACATGAAAAAGGTGCAGCTTATAAGAGAACAGCACAAGCATCTGAAGTATTCACACACCTACACATACTCCCCCCCCCACACACACATATTAATCTATGCATCCAAACGCCTGCTCCATTAAAGCTGATGTCTGTGTGGAGCAGAGGTGATGGCGGAGGGGCTTAAGTCAGTAGAAAGAGGAAGGGGGGTTAGTCCAAAAAAAGTGAACCAATAAAACACCTGAAAATCAAATCCCATTGCTCTTATCGCGGCGCCATTTACAGACGTTATCTGTTGCAAGTAATGTGGTTATAAATTCAATTTCAGCACACAGATTTCATTGTTTACTGATGCCTGCATGTTCCGGGCGGCAGAGCGCGGAAAGCTCGGGAACGCTCAATGCGTGTCGGGAAAAGTCATTTAGGCCTTCCACGAGGGGATGCAAAAAAATAAAAACCGAATGGCGAGGAGGATTGGGAGAAAGGGCGGCAGTGAGGAGAAGACCTGTCACACTCCCAAGGACACCTGACTCCAATTTCTGTTTTCCATCCCATGTTTTATTTAAAGACCATTTGGTCCCATTTGGTTCCTCATTATCAGGGCTCATAGCTCAACTGATGTCATTGGGGAAGATGATTTTTTTCCTCAAGATAGTCAGTTTTCTTATGTTGCTGATCATTTTGACAAGAAAAGTGTTTATTTAGTATTTGGATGTGGACTTTAAAGGAGGTTTAGGCCTCAGCTGAAAATGAAAATAACACATCAAGCTGTTTGTATTATATACTGTATATATTTAGATAGAGAGTTAACTTAAAATAGCCAGAAATTAATCTTTTTTTATGTTATTTGCAACTTGTGAAAATGGGAAATTAGGTGCACCTTGCCTACTGGCTCTCCTTGTGATTGATGGCTTTCAGGAGTAAATCACCTCATCTACTAGGTAAAATCTTGATATAGTAGAGCTCCTCAGGCTCCCAGCTGGCTCCTTATGGCAGTAATCCATCAGTAGGGCCCAATGGGCCGAGTGGTTCTCCTGGGTAATGTTCCTATTGACAGCCTATGATGTCAAAAATGCTGTCAGTGGGGAGGGGGGCCATAGCAGTGTGTGTTTGCGCGTATGAGGCTTTACTCTCACATTTACTGTCTGTCACGAGAACAGATAGGTCTACTAAAAACACACAAAACTGCTCTGTGTTAACTGAGCAAATCACTTCATCTAATTTTGTATAATGTTCTACTTTTAAGGCCTTCAGCTTTATTTAAAACAGTAAATGATTCTATTTGATCCTTATTTTTAAGCCGATAAGAAAATAGGAAAATAAGAAAATATTCTTCCTGCTTTGTTTGGACCAAAGTCGTATTTTATACAGTTTGTCGCCTGAACTTTACATGTTAGTTTGAAACAGTTAAATGTGAGATTGTATGTTATGAAACTTTATTTTTCACAAAATACATATTTTTTAATAACATTCAGAAATGTTAGCTTTTCAAATTATCCTTGCTCACCCTCACATTTGGCTGTGCCCTTGAATGTCTCTTGGCTCCGCCCACTTTGTTGGTATTTTTCTAATTTGCTTGGGGGGCGGGGTTATACTTTCACAGGGGGTGCCAATTAGTTTAGTTACTGTCTTGTATGGGGTTCAAGTAGCATATTTATAATCGTTCCAWTGCTTCCTGTAAGAATTAAAAGTTTGACTAATGTTAATTTCCAATAAAACAGGAAGAAGACCACTTTTGGTTTAACTTATCTTATATCTTCCTGTTTTGAACTGACTTCTTTTTGGATTATTGTAAAAAATTGATTAGTTCATGGTACACAGGAAACCAATTTAAAGTTAGACTTGAGTATTGAAGTTACACATGCAATGTTTACCACAACCTCAGGCCTGGACCAAGTGCTCAGAGTCAGATCTCTGGCAGCTGGCCCCGATCCATCACAAAACAGGAGCATGCAAGTCTTCAGAACTGAGTCGCCTTCTGGAAAAGACATTGTTGAAGGGGGCGGGACATGACCTCACCTATCAGGTGACTCAGTTCACAAACAAGTAGTTCTGACTTCTCAGGTATAGAAAGATAATGTGTCTGACTGTGCTGCATCAGTGTGAGGCATTTAACTAGATACTCACTCATTGGTTTTTCTCACAAAACTCTTAGTCACGGCATGAAAATAAATGATTGATTATAAAATACTCTAACCTTCTCAAGCATAAATATGTATATACGAAATGCATTTAAGGCTTAATAGAAATCAATACATTTCTTACATTATCTTTGTGATGTGAAGTGTGATTTTACACAATAAAAAGAAAATTGATTTATGCTCATTTGCAGTTTTATCCCTTATTCTGCACAGCATTTGGTTTGTGCCTGAATTCTTTTGTTTCAGTGTTTGAATGTTTGGGGTATTTTAATCCAAACTCTGATCTGATTGGACAGCTGATCTGTAATGATATGTTTAGATAGCAGAAATAAAATGAAAAAGGCAGAAAAGATTTTATTTATTTTAAGAAAAGAAGCTGCATCCTTTATTTCCGGTAAAACTGAATATTTTTTGTGGCTCATTTCTTTTTAGCTACAGGTTTGTATAAAAACACGATAATCCATCACGCAGTTTTTAAAACACAGTCTTTCTGTTGACCTGTCCAGACAAACTGAAGGGTCTCTACGACTCCCAGACCCCGGTGTGTCCAGTCTGCCAGGCCGTCTTGCGACCCGGAGAGCTGCAGGATCACATGGAGCAGGAATTAGCCAAACTCGCTCAGTTGCAGATCAGGTACGCCCCATAAYATGTTTTTTTCCCCTCTTTCATAAAATGATTAAAGGCTTCATTCACAAATGTTCTCACAGGAATATCTCCTTCAAGCTTTTACTTCTTCCATTTATTCATGTATTATTTTATTTCTGTTTTGCACCTCAGACTTTCTGCTCCCGTTCAGCTCTCAGGAGATAATTTATGTTGACATATTTTGTATAACTAGAGTACCCCCCCACTTTGTTTTTCTTTTTTTACCCGCTGGTGTCGCCCGTCTTCTTTGTCACCTGTGTGCAGTGTTTACAAGCTGCCTCATTGTTTCCTACATATTTCATATTGCTGCCTCCGGCCTTGAGGCGACAACTCATACAGCAGGCAGATAATGTCCTTCTAATGGCTGCTTTGAGGCCTATGCGCGCACACACACACACACACATTCACACAGTGTAAAATACAAATATAGACACACACATTACCTGCTGCTTAGACCAGAAGAATGATTCCTCCAATAAAGACATTACACTCCAAATCTGCTTAACGACCGCTCCATGGACAGTAATGGTTTCAAATTGAACTTTGCCCACGGGGACACTGTATGTGTGTGTGAAGTGAGCAGGGGTGCAGTATTTGTGTTGCGAGTGTGAAAGAATAAAATGAGGCGCTAATACAAATTCAGACAAGATAAAAGCACCTGATGATGTTGTGTTAGCGTATCAGTGTTAACTTTACATATCCAGAGAAAAATKAGTTATTTTATGTTTTGTTTGTTTTGTTTCTTTTAGTATCACTCCCGCACAACATGACCACATCATCAGGACACCAAAGGTGAGCGTAGGATTGAYATGTTCATGACGAGTCAGTTAAAATGTTTTCCAATGTTTTCATTCCCTTTTTTCCTCYCCTAGTCCCTCTCTCTCTCTCTGCATATCAAACGTGAAGGAGGCTCGCCCACATCACCTCCTCAGCCATGTGAGGAGCACCACTCAGATCGATACCAGGTGCAAAAATTAGTATTTCTTTTCATCCCAGTTTTTAATTAATCAATAAATTTTTTGTAGAACTTAGAATTTCGTATTTTGTTCATGTAAAGTTTCATTTTAATGCTTTAACATAAAAAACTATTATACTCTCATCTTGTGTCTGAAATGATTAGTTTTGTTTCATGTTTTTGAGAAAAAACAGCTACTTGTTCATCATTGATTGTTTTTCATGCTAATCAACAGGCAGACATATTTCAGATAATGATACATGAATTTATTAATGAATGGGGGAGGGGAGATTTTAAGACTATGTGATTTACAATTTTTCAGAATAACCTTCTTAAGGCACTGAAAAAAAAATGGAAAGTCCTCAAAAAGTTAATTTAGACCCATTTAAAAACAAGATAAAAAAAAACAACCAAATGAAACTAAAAAAATGTTTGGTTTACTTGTCTTTCAAGTCCAATAAACTCTGTTCTTTAAACGTAAAAAAAACAAAATAGTTCAAGAGTAACAAAATTGTGGGAATAAAACCCGTCGTCATGCAGTTGAGCTGAATTATCTTCACTTTTTCATCATAAATCTTGTAATAATAAATTTAATTAGATTTGTCAGCTAAAGGTTGTAATTGAACTGTGTCATCATGCTTAATGTGATTAAACTCTACATTCAAAACTGGATCTATTTAAACAATTTGCTCATTCTGAATAAAGAACATTAAAATTCATTCATTGAGATTTTAAACTAGTTTTGCAGCTTTTGTTAGTGCATTATAAGCACTTTGGAGACATTTTCTTCTGAATCACCACTGTTGAAGGAACATTGTGCTCAACTTTGATCACATTTAGATTTCAAACAAATCACCTTTTGTTTTGTTAAAAAATAAAACTCGAGTTGACTCAGAGGGCTTTAAAAGTAGAAAAAGTATTCTAGGCATGGTGATGGACACTGGCTTCCAAAAGTTGAGGTTAGGACCCCACTGTGTGTCCTGAAACATCAAGGTGGGGCCTTGAAAGGATTTTCAGAATTAATTACATTTTGAAACAACTACTAACAACTATGTGTTGCCTTAGTTGTTACAAATGTGTGTGGTTATTGCACTTGAAATGGCTGATGTTAGAAAAATTACACTGTTACTATACCCTTGTTTATTTGACCTGATACTAATGTTCATGGCCCCAAACAGTTGGGGGCTTCAGGTCTCTGCTGCTGTTATTTTGTGGGTCAAAAGCTGAGATGTTTGGGAACCACTGATGCAGGAATCTGCGACAGCAGCCTGATGTAGAGAGACCGAAATAAGATGCTGCAGAAAATGCAAAACAGAAAAAAAAAGAGACAAGGTTCAAATGACTAATTATTTGTTTTGTTTGTTGCAGACCTTCTTGCGAGTGCGGGCCAACAGACACACRAGACTAAATGGTACGTAGAAGTCTGAATGTTGCTTCAATCGGTGCTTCAGTCTGTAGTTTAGATTTGGCATTACTTTAAAAACACCTAAAAAGTTAAAGTCTCCTTTTGTTCACGCTCGTGAGCCCAGTCATGTGTTTTAATTTCCCCAAAGCCCTCCCTCACTAGTCGTGAAGTTACCTCCCCCTCTTTTTTTGTATTTGTTTATTTTTTTGTTCCCACACCATCTCCGCTGGCCTAGCGCCCCCACGAGCAGAGGAGCCATTAACCTTTCAACTTTGACCTCTTGATATGTTAACAGTCGATGACCTCTGCTGGTGCAGGTGCTACGTCAAATCTGCCCAATTGCGCCCACACARCGCAGGAGCCCACCTAGACTGCACACAAACTGGTAAGAAACACTGAGAAGCTTTTTTTTGTCTTCTTCACTGCAGTCGTGTTTTTATTTGTCTAGATTTAACTGAAGTTAGTGAAAAATCCTGATTTGTTTTTGGCGCTAAAACAAAGAAAATCCTGAATTGGGACACAGTCCTACGACATTATCTTATCAAATACTGTACAGTTTTTACATTCAGCAAGGATTTTTTTTATGTGTATGAGATACAACATTTTTCAGAAATCTGAAGCCACAGTTTTATTGCTCAGTTATAATCATCACTGTGATGGCAAGTCATAAAAACCACCTTTATTTGAAATTAAGTGTCCCCTGAAACGACACCAACTTTTACAGACTTGCAGCTATAAATACGATGAATAAAGAGACGCTGCATTAATCTCTGCTGTGATGATCCAGAGTCAAATCTGTGTGGTGGCAACATAAAAGGCTGCCAAAAATTATTTTAAGTAATGATAACAAAAAGGTTTGTTTGCTAAATGAAAAGTGTGTGACAATGCAATTGTGTATGTTTGATTTGATTTGGTTACTTTAGGTAGATTTGCTTTGCAGTGGTACAAAGCATATCATACATACACACCCATTGTAAGAAACAAGAGCTCATCAGCAGAAGGAACCATTCTCATATAATAGTGCTCGAGGCTTCACGTTATAAATTCAAATCTTTTATTTGTCTGTCAGTTAGCAAAATAATTCTTTTACCCCAAACTTCCAAACCATTCCCTGTAGGTTTTTAAACAACAGTTTACAAACCTTGATGCTTCAAAAAACCCTTCTCCATTCGTTTCCACCTGAAAAAAACTAACTGGGACCATGATGTTTAAGTTTAAACTGTTGGAAAAATGGAAAAAATATGAAATATACATCTGCAAAATCCAAACGTAAACAAAAGAAAAACATGACTTTAAATGAGTGGAATTGATAGAAAGGTTTAAAAATTGTCTTGTGCCATGTTTGTTTAAAATTCTTCCATTGTTGACACCTTTTAATTATTTTTTAAATAAAAACTTTCTGCGCTGCTACATACTCATTAAGCCCCCTTTCAGAGAGCTTTAAAGAGACAGCATCAAAACGAACTGATCTGAGGCACACYTCAAAAAATGGGTGGAAGAGGGGCTTGTGGAGTTACAACAAGGAGGAATTCAGACCAAAGCATTGCAGTTCTACTTTACATAGACCCCAAATTAATGATTTAAATGGGAAAAAGAAGGATTTAAAACCACACATCTTCTTTAACTTTGGTGTGGTAGTAGCTGAGAGTTGTCGCTAACACATACTCTGAGCACTAACAGACCACTTRTTTTAAACTTTGGTATGCACTGCAGCAGGCTATAATCATTCCTTCAAGGACTATTATAAAGTGGTTTCAGTAAATAAAACAGTTCCTCCTCCAATAGCTCTAAGTGAGCCGAACATTTACCTGCACAAAAATATTCTGGTTAGTAATCAGCTCAGGCCCGATGCAGCCTCCTGACACCAACTCACATTACAAACTTCTTATTATTTCCACGGCGATGCTTCGGCTCTTAGCTGACTCCTCAAACTGCAGCTGCTGTCGAGGTCTGTTAGCCTTTATTGGGTCTTCTAACAGGACAGCATAATGAGCTTCTAAATACACGTCAGGGAGGGGGAAAAAAGGAGGAAGTGGAGAGGAGTCGCTCTTCTGCTGATTAATCAACCTCCCTCTCTCTTTCTCTCTTTGTTTGATGAGCTCTTCTTCATCTGTGACCGTCTCTTTAACCCTCATTATGGCTGGCGGGACGGCAGCGCTTGGGTCACAGCCACCGGCTCTCTCTGTGGCCCATCCTGCTCCCCCTGTCATCGAGCTCGAATTAGAGGGCCCTAAAACTTAATGTCCCYTTATACAATCTGCAGTCAGTCAGGTCACAGAGGGAGAGGAGACGCTGTTGGTGTTCTGCCGTGTTAACTTTAATATTTCCAGCGAGCACGGTGTGGGAGGACGCTGAGATGACAGAAAGGAGATGGGAGGAAGGTTCTGCGCTCGCAGCTGAATGAATTATGCAGGTCCTTTTGAATCATTTTGTCTTTAAGGCTCAGTGTGATCAGTTTACACATTTGATAAAATCGTGTGTCTATCTCGGGATTTCCCAGCAGTTGTTTAGTCTGATGCCGGTCAAATGAGCTGAATAATCATCATATTCCACATGCAGCTCCAGAGATTTACCCTTCAAATGTATTAGGTGAAAAAACAACTCGTTTTACTCAGATAGGCTATTTTCATCATAAGTAAGTAAAACCTGAAATGCTGAATGTAGTTGTAAGAGACACTCCAGGTCTTAAAACACTTCTCACAACTTAAAAGTTGTGAGGAACAYGGGTTCTTTTTCTAGAAACATAAATTTCTCTCTGTGGTAAAGTGAGAAATACACAGACACAATAATTTGCCACTTCAGTTAGTTCAATTTTCTAAAATATATGATATTTATTTACAGAATAAAATAAACCAACTATGTACAAATTAATCTTAATAATCAGAACTTTATGAGCTAAAATATTAACAAGAATCACTTTGCGTCCGACGTGATTAAAGTAAATGTAACACTCAGAAAGAACTTGGGACAATAAACTCTAGGTTTAGATCTTATCAAACCAGGGGTTTACAGGTACTTTGACTTATGGCAAGGCTTTAAGATGTTGTGACGTTTGCAAACGATCTGAATCGTTTAACGTCTCTTTACAACAAATGATAGGAACAAATAAAGAGCCATTTGTATGTGTTTTATTTTTTTACTCCTCGTAATATCTTTATTTTTTTCCTCCTTAACAACAGAGACAATCACTCCCGCTTCACTTTTTCATGTAAAACAGGCAGAGGGGTGGAGTAGAGCAGCTCAGGGGGAGGGGTATTWGGCTTGACAAAACACATGRTTCTGCCCAGGTGACATGATGAYATCACATATTTCACTACAWGATGASRTAACTCGTTCAAAATCGAACAAACGGCTCTGAAACAAACGGCTCGTCAAGATCTGGATTCCTTCGAAAACCCATTTGTTCCGTCTGTAGTGATGATAAAAGTTTGCCGTAGTCCTGAACATCTCTGAAAGTGAAGCACTGTAGAATGTACAGTCTGGATGTTGTGTTACAACATATTCTTTATGATTTATGTAGCTGAATTTTTGTACTGAAAAATTTGCAGGCATATTCTCCTGCTGTCAGACAACCACTGCTCACTTTCTTGGAGTGAAATGGTAAATGAACTGTACTTGTATRGCGCCTTTCTACCCAACCAGGATACTCAAAGCGCTTCACACTACCTGTGTCCTCATTTACCCATTCACACAGCACTCTACCAGATCTCCTACAAAGCTAACATGTACAATCATCTATGGAGACTAATCAGTGCCAATTACATTCATACACTGATGGGACACACATCAGAGGCAKTAGGGGTGAAGTGTCTTGCCCAAGGACACAACAGCATGTGGGCGTGGCGGGGAGTTGAACCTGCGAAAGGGGGTGGAGATGGACGACATCTGTAACAAAGCTACATAATTAGCAATGAGTCATGCTTGCATTTGAATCAGTACATTTTATATCCAATGAAAGTAAAGATGGTAACAAATAAATTGGACAATTTTTCTGGTAATTTAGTGATATTTTCTACAGTTGTGGTCTTGAAATAAAATCCAGAGTCCATAATGTCTGAGACCGAGACAAGTCTGAGTATAAATGGGGTCAAGTTTGAGACAAGATTGAGACCATTAAAAAGTGGTTTTTGAGACTAGTTTTTTAGATCAAGACTGGTCTTACAACACTGGCTGAATGGTCAGTATACACGTGTCGGTACATACAGTTGGCAGTCTTAATTAAATGAATGGAAATATTTTGTGGCATTGACTGTTATGGAATAAAGCTACAATATATAACACAACTAGTGGAGCAGTTTGATTTGAAAACTTTATCAAAAGGTCCACAAGGAACACTACAATCTGTAATTTCTGCAGAAATTTAATACAATCTTCTGGTGTTTTTTTCTCCATTTGTTTGTTTTTTTTCTAAAATTTTTATCATCTTGTCATGTTTCATGTCTTTCATCTGTTTCCAGTCAGGATTGGAAAGTTGAAAAAGAGAAAACCGGAGGATTTGCAGGTAAATTTTCTATCATTTTGCATTAAAAACAAAGAAAAGCATTAGTTTCACTGATATTGTTTGATCGTTGCTAGAGATTCATACATATGTAACCTGCAGCAGGCTGATCCGTGATGGAGAGAATGTTGTGAGTTTTGAGCACAGAGATATTGTTGACTGGCTTTGTTCATGTGGCATCAGGATCACTGTCAGTTTGCTGTGTATCCATGTGAAAAACACGGCACCGGTGCTGGTTCGCTGCTATGAAAACACAGAGACAAATGCAGCTCCAGGCTGTCGCAGGCATATTCATCGTGTCGGTGTGTGTTTCCAGGAGGGTTCGGCCGACTTGGTGCCGCTGGAGGACGAGTGGAATGAGAGGAGAAGGATACAGATGACATCCGTAGGGTTTAAAGGTAAGAATAAATCAGTGTGTGATCTTTTTTTTTGGCTTGAGGGTGAGTAATATGACTGAGTGGCAGTTGAAGAACCACTGAACTTTTCAGTCCAGATTACAGAAGAAAAGGTGCCCTGAAGGTTTGTTTAAAATAAACCGTTTCTTTAAGCAGAAAACACAGCGGTAACATGCAAACTTCCTTATTTCTATTCCTATTTTTGAGGGAAACTACAATGTTGTGATCTTTGAAATGATTAACGAAAAGGAATTTTTACACAAGAGTCCAAAAGCTGGTTTAAGATGATTTATTTCAATATGAAATGGTTTTTATCAGGTGCAGCGTTGGTGAGTATGACGTCTAAAGAGTGTCGGGACAGCGATGCAGACCTGGACGTGGACGGAGACGACACTCTGGAGTACGGCAGAGCGCAGTATCCTTTATAATTAACGCAAAGTTTACAGTGAAGAACAGTGGTGTTTGGGTTTACAGCGAAGTGACAAGAATTGGGTGAAAAACCAGTAAAACAACAACAACAACAACAACAACAACAACAACAGTAAATGTGTGAAAGACTCTTACTTATAAGGAGGTTTATTTCATAAAGCAAATGTGTCACAAAGTGGGTTATCTACTGTTATGGCTGGATATTTTACAAAATAGCACAATGTTTGCTTTTAAAAGATTGTGTAAATGTTGTTGTTGGAACTTCAGCCTCAAAATCATGTCATTATTTTCTACAAGTATGAGTTTTATCATTGAACTAAATTATCTTATCTAAGATCAGTGGCGCTATAACTTTACTTCAGTCTAGTCAAACCTGTCAAGTGGAGATTGGGACTGAAGGTTTTTACTAAAACACTGCACTCCTGGGTGTTCACCGTTWGTTACAACACAAACAGGAAGTTAATTAATACACATTATTATATCACAGAGTCTTTATGTCTAATGATCACTGCTTTTAAACATTTAACATTTAAAAACCTTTAACCTTTTTGTAACAAAACAAGTACAGGAGACTCTAAATAAGACACATTTCAAAAGGTAAAATGTGCAATAAGATCTGATATCTGCAAAAAAATAGCCATCTAAAAATAAGTTTAAAAATACTAGATTATAATCTGAATCTTCTTAAAATAAGGCTAACAAGACCAATAATTTAATACATTCTGCTCTTTATTAGTCTCAAAACAAAGGATAAGATTTGGTTAGATGAATAATTTTTGACAAGTAATTGTCCTGGATTTTGTTTTTTCTTTTTCTTTCTAGCATCTGTTTGTTTTTGTTTGTATGTAGTAAAAGTGGGATAGCCCCTGATGTTTCTAAAGACAATTAGGCGATGAAGGACATTTGTTCCTCTTTTGTTTTGTTCTAACACCCAAAAAGACTAAAACTAATAACTAGATTTTAAGATCAACCTTTCTGATTCTAGTTAAAACAAAATACAACATGTTCGACAGATTTGTTCTTCCCTGACTTTAGTTTGCAGATACACTGAGACGGATGTAATCCCATGTTCAGGAGAAAGTTCTAAAGAGTCAGCAGTCAAGTACGTGACCCACGCACCGACATCCGGCTTACATTTCTATATTTTTATTCATGATCCACCAACCCATTCTCACTCCCGAGTCGTCACATATTGACGTTTTTCAAAGGTCCCTTTGCGTCCAATTTTGACGCATCAGGTACCCCCCTTGCGTCATATTTTGACGGGATGGGGCGGAATCTGTTGTCGTAATTTTTCAAAGTGTAGAAAATGCACAAATAC